GAAAGGAGAACACTCCTACACTGTTGGTGGGAATGTAAATTGGTCCAGTCACTGTGGAGAACAATATGGAGGCTCCTCAAAGACCTTAAATAGAACTACCATATTATCCAACAATTCCACTCCTGAGTATCTACCCAAAGTATAGGAGAGCACTCAGCTGGAAAAGCACTTGCACATCTATAGTCATTGCAGCCTTATTCATGATTGCTAAGACATGGAACCAACCCAAATGTCCACAAACAGATGAAAGGGTTGAAAGATTGTAACACATATACTCCATGGACTATTATTCAGCCATAAAAAATGACAAGGCCCTGGAATTTGATAGAAAGTGGGTGAATATGGAAGATTTGTTACTGAGTGAAGCAAGTTAGGCTATGAAAAAGAGACACTGCATGTCTCCACTTAACATATACCAACTGTCTGCACTCTATGGTAGAGACTGAAAGACTGGAGAACATAAAAGTAGTAAAAGTTGTAATAGGGACCAGCAGTTAGCATAATGGCTATGTCGCTGAACTCCCATGTAGCCGACCATGGTTCGAGTCTCAGACCTGGTGACTTAAACTCACACCAGGTGTGTGTGCATGCGTGCCCAAGATCCCGAGAGGAGAATGGAGGAGAAGGGATTGTGACGTGGTCATCCCCCTGGGGGGATTCCTCACTTTCTATATCTCTTTCTTTGTCTCTCTGGTGAGTGCACGCACCCTATAGAAAAAATCATCTCCAAAAAAAGAAAAGAAAAAATTGTAATGGACACTAGAGACAAAGTGGGAGGAGAGTGTGGGAGGGGAAGAGCATAGGAAATTTGGGGGGAAAATGGAGAGGTAAGACACTTGTGGGACACAGATAAGGTTTAGTATCTGTTGACAGGGATGTGTATGGTGGTCTCAGCTGGGCTAGACTTAGGTGTATATCATGTCTCTTCACAATCTAAATGATGTATAGCAATTTAATGTGTAAATAATAATAAAAATATATAAATAAAAAAACCTAAACAAAACAAAAAAAGATGGTTTTGTTCATAACTCAAAGGAATAGGATGTACACTATATAGTAGAGATGCCTAAAACTTTTCCTGAACTTTCTAGCCATTAGAATAACTCGATAAATTTATGAATTTTTCTATCTCTGAATTGCTGATTTCTCTTTATGTTTTTTTAAGGCTCATGATACCTTTAAACAATTTTTATTTATTTACTTTGAGAGAGAGGGGAGAGAGAGAGAGAGAGAGAACCACCTCCAACAGTGGTCCTCATGCTGTGATCCACTCTCAGCCTTAGGCAGTCAAGATCATGGTCATGCATGTGCATACCCAGTGAATACGGGAAGCACTTGGGATTTGAACCTGGGGCCTTCCCATGTGGCTTTAGCATCACAGAGCCTTCTGTTACCTCTGTACCACCATGCTGGCCTCATGATACTCTTTTTTTTTTTTACAAAGGTTGACTGTTTTTCCTTTTAGCTAGTCAGTCATCACATTCATTCAGTCATGGGGTTTTACCAGGAAAGTAGACAAAATCCAGGTTGTTGTGGGTGTATAGAAGTTTACATTGTGATGAATTATAAAATCTAAGTTGTGGAAGGAGAGAAGTGAGGATATGAGGATAGCTCACCTTTCTTACCATTAAATACTACTGTTATTACTACTAATAAATCAAAATGACATTATGACTCCCATGTTTCTTACATTATTACTTGATTTTTCATATTGTAGGGTCACTGTAGGTCTTTCTACTTGACGACCTCAAATTCAATCAGTTTCTTTGTCCTGTGGGGGTTTCTTGAATCTGTTCACTCTACCCGTCAATTTCTATTGTCATCTTAGTATAGGGTCTTCCTATCTTTTTCTGGCCTATAACAATGCCTACTGATAACCTATCCTGCCTCTATATTCATTTATATCTGGTAGAGTATATCATAAAAAGAGGAATTGGAGGTATGAATTCAACTATTTAACTCCTCTATAACATATATTAGATGATAGACATTTTTCTAAACATTATTGCATATGTATTTGTTCATTTATTTAATCATCACAGTGATTGTTTGAGGGAGGTACTATAAATGAGGAACTATGCTCTGGAGTTAATGACTTGGTAAGCCCGCACAGCTAAGCACTGGCAGAGGCAAGAGCTGAACCCAGCAGTCTAGTTCTAGGGTCTGTACTCCTATCCCCTACACTATGTGCATTTCTTCACATGTGCTGTGCTGTCCTACTTCTGCGGCCTTGTATATGTTGTTGCTCTGGCTGAGGGTCCCTTGCTCTTTCCCCCTGGGCATTAAGTTTTACTTCCCTTTTAAGAATCAATGTGAGGGCTAGATGGTGGCACAGTGGTACGACACAAGACTCTTTGAAGGAATCCCACGTATTTCCAGGTTCTTGTCTGGATACCTCCCTGAGTTTGTCAGCAATGTGTATGCCCATTATTGGGGATGGCTAAAGGATGGCATTGAAACTCTGTTGGAAGATTCTGTCTCCCTTTCTTTTTCACTGTCTTTCTCACTCATGGAAGGACTAAATAAACTTTTAAAAAAAGTCAATGCAGGCAGCATCACTTCTTCTGGTCTACCTTTTTTTATTTTTAAAATTCAGATTTAATCACTGTATATCTTTATGCAATACAAAATGGTTTTTACTATCATGAATACAGTGCGTGTTAGTCAAGTCACATGTATTACGATGTACATTATCATCAAAAAATAATTTTCATTTTTGTTTCTGTTAAATGTCTTTCTCTCACTTTCTTTTTGTATGCCTTTGATAAATTATTCTCTATGCCTCCTTTTCCAGAACTTATTTTTAGACTTAAAGTCATCCTATTCTAGGTTTTCCCATTGAATTTCTACTGTGGCACTTATCACTTTACATTCTTTTTTCACTCTGCCTGTGTTTTCCACTGCATTGTCACAAACCAGAGCTGGATGTATTTGTTTAAAGAATATGAGGAAAAATAGGCAGCTCTTAGCTCTTTTTAAAATTTCAATGTATTTGTAGATAATACTTATGGAAAAAGAGATAAACAGGGATATTCATTTTTGAATGGCAAGTCTTTTAATAATTAAATTAATTTAAACTTAACAATGATAATATTTTGATAGTAGTGCAAGTTTACACTTGGTAAATGAACTTTTCAAACTGTAAATACGTAAATGCCAGATCAATGCACTATCATGCTTAATTGTCAGACTTTGTGTTTTCCTGCATAGGGCTGTAATCAGTGATCCAGAACAAAACTTAACCACTGAGAAACAACAAAGTGTTCAAGTCTTTCCAGATACAAAAAGAGCACCTCTTCGATTTAGGAAAAGACCACTTCATGAAACAAAGTAAGATGATTTTAATTACCTGAAATGTGACTGCATTATGTTATGTATATGTTTTAAAATGTACTTCTGTGTCTAATTAAAATGTTTCATATTTATTTCTGTCTTTTTAATGCAAAGAAACATGGATCTTTTGGAGTTCAGGTCTTAGTTCTGCCACTTTATCATATTAGGGCAATACCTTTTTTTAATATTTTTGAATTAATTTATTAACATATGTTTTAAAATTAAATATAGGTAATTTATAGTTGAACAGACCTTAAAATTTTATAATAGTTTTAGGATATTTAATACAATGTGGAGTGATGAAGGCCATTAACATATACATCACCTCAAATATTTAATATTTTTCTATGATGAGCATATTAAAAATATACTTTGTGGACTAGTAGGTGGTGTGGTGGTTAAAGTGCTGGATCTCACATAACTGACTCTGTAGTTAGAGTCCCAGACCCAATGCTTTAAAAATTCACACCAGGTGTTCGTGTGCACAATCAGGATGATACCTTACCCCGCTCTCTTTACCTAGAAAGTTTTTATTTGTAATTTAGGGGGGAAAAGCTGTGATCTTCAGTGATAGTATATGTGAAAATGGGCAATTCAGTGATGGATATTTGTACATGTACAAAGTATATTGGCTAAATCACATTGATATATTAAAAATTAATGTTGCTTATATGTGCTTTGGTCTTTTCGTTTTGTTCTTTTGCATTTTACTTGGTAGCTTATAAAACCTTTGGGTCAGCATGCACTTTTACAGCACTTTGTTTTAGTCCAGAGGACTTAAGTTCCTCAACAACTCCACTCACAATCGACATTTAGCCTCAGCTTTACTAGACGTAGATAATTACCAGCATCTACAGTGACTCTTATATTTTCAGTCTGCTGTAATTGTTAGACCATATTTTCTTATCATTTTAATCTTTTTGTCTCATTTTTATTTTCTGGAAGGCTTTTCTTTCATACATTTAAATATTTGAAAGCATCACGTATTAGTTTTCTATTGCTACTGTAACAGATTACCACACCCTTAGCATTTTAAAACAGCCCACATTTATTCTCTAAAGGCTGTGAGAGTCAGAAGACTAAAATCAAGGGTGTTGACAGGGCTGCATTCGTTCTAGAAGTTTCAGGGGAGATTCCTCTTCTTTGGTTTTCATGGCATCTGGAATCTGCCCTTAAGGATTGACTCATAGCACTTTCTTCCATCTTCAAAGCCAGCAAAGGCTGGTCAAGTGTTTTTTACCCTATATCATTCTGATGCTCTCCCTCTGCAAATATATCTCTCTGCTTTCCTCGTACAAAGATGTGTGTAATTGTACTGAGCCTTCCTGGATAATCATGGTCATCTCCCCATTTCAAGATGATCACATATGCAAAGTCCCTTTTATCATGTAAGGAGTTCATATGTTTTGAAGATGAGGAGGTAGATATTATTTTGAAGATGAGGAGGGAGCCATTATTCACCTACTGTACACCTCAAATTTTTAAAAATATAACTTTTGTTGAAATAAAACATACATTCACAAAATGCACACTTTTTTCTTAAAATTTTTTTTTTTAGAATTATCCATTCAGTTTTATTCATCATCGTCATTATTATTATTTTAATTTTCTATGGGCTACATGCAGCCACCAGAGAGACAGCGAGAGAGTGAGAAAGCAAGCTACCAGGTCTGGGATTTGAACTGTGGTCTGACATATGGGAGTCCAGTGCCCCACCCACCATGCCGCCAAAATATGTGCAAAGTGCAGGATCCTTCTGCAGTGGAAATGAGTGGGTTAGTCTATTTAATTTTTGTGTTCAGGACTTAGCTTATTGTTGCTACACACTTAAGCCATGTTTTCTAATAGCTTTATTAATAATAAAATTCACATTTTTTTTGGAGAGGTTTTTGCTATAGGGCATGTGCATGTGCCAAAAAGACAGAGAGAGACAGAGAAGCAGAAAGTGAGAAATTTCACCCAGGGAGGATGGCCATGCCGCAATCCCTTCTCCTCCATTCTCTTCTTGAGATCTTGGGCATGCACGCACACGCGCCCAGTGTGAGTTTTAAGCCACTGGGTCCGGGACTTGAACCACGGTCGACTACATGGAAGTCCAGAGACATAGCCATTATGCCAACTGCTTGTCCCAAAAAATCACATATTTTTAAATATGCCTGTTTTTCTTCTTAGATGAGTTATTTAGAGAGTAGTACTTGTGCTACTTTTTGGGCACCTAAAATCCAACATGGCACTTTGAATTTTATTGTGTAAATGTATATTTACTTCTTTTATCTTTCCAAGAAGTTGTTAGGCTCCTTGTTTGAAGTTCTTATTTCAACCTATCACTACCAAAGTGACTTCTGTTCACCACAGAGAAGCAATACAATGTGATGGTGAAGAGCAAGGTAGTTTCTAACTCTGTCATTAGTAATCTTATGACTTTGGGCAATTTCCTTAACCCCTCACTGGTTCTGTAAATACATTTATAAAATGTGGTAATAGTACTTACCTCATAGAGTTATTGCGAGCTTTAAATAAACCAATACACATTAAAGTGACTTTAACAATAAGAATGACTAGCGTCTGAGAAGTTCTTAACAAATGGGAGCTGTTATTGTTGCTGTTATTTTCTTAGCATTGAGAATTGTTCCAAGCACATACAGGGCATTCAACAAGCACATTAATGCCAGTAGATTAAAGTACATTGAGATGATGAAGTTTTCATGGCTCCCACTAGGTGTTCACAAACTCTCCTTTGGTTTGTAAGCTCTTTTTTTCTTTCCTGCTTCTTTTTTTTTTTAGATTTTGTAGAAATATAGATTTTCAAGATCCAAACGATCAACATACTTACTATTTACATTTTTGGCATTTGATTGCATTGGACTTTTTTTTTTGGGGGGGGAGTATCATAAAATTATTTTGGAAGAGAAGTAAAGAGCCATCATGAAATTTTCAAATTTCTGAAGATAAAGGAGGTTATCGGTAGTACGGTGCCAACATGTGTGCATTTGGCTTTTGCTTCATATTGTTGAAAAGAATTCTAAGTCTGGCAGTCTTTCTGAGGTCATTTAATCTGATCTGAAGGCCATGAGCATTAAATAACTGATAGATCTAAGCCAAGGCTCCAACTTTATCCAGCATTCTTAATAACTATTCTGTTATTTTGATAAGGAATATTTTCAGCTACCTATAACTGAAAGCCCAGGTAATAGTGACTTAAATGAATTCAGATTTATTTGTCTTGTATAACCAGGCAATTGCTGGTTTTAGTTCAGTGTCTCAGTGGTGTCAGAGCTCTGGGCTATCTTTTCTAGAGCTTATTGTCCGTTCTTATGTGGGTTGTTTAATGGCTACATTGGCTCTGAACATTGTCTCTGGCATGGTCATAGGGAGCAAGACTTCCCATGCCACTCTCTCTCTCTCTTTTTAAAATTTTATTTACTTATTCATTTATTTTCATTTGATCAGAGAGAGACACACACAGAAAGAGAGAAGGAAAGAGAAAGCAAGCTGTCAGGTACAGGATTCAAACTACTGTCCCATATGGGAGTGTCTAGCTCCTTAACTACCACACCACCTGCTGCCCCTCCCCACCACCACCACCACTCTTTTATCTAGACAAAACAGTCTTTCCTGGAAGCTTGTTTAAGAGCTAGGTCCCTTTGTCACCACTGATTGCAAGAGGCTAAGAAAGCAAATTCTATGGTGGGGGGAAGAACAAAAACAGAATCAGAAATGGGCTTCAGGTAGTCCTAGAACAAAGCCAGCCACAAATGTGCTATTTCTGTTCTATATTTACTTTATAGCACTTTCCTACCATAAATTCTAATATGAAAGCTATTCAGGTACTACATGCTATATTGCTGGGTTATTTCTTCTGTGTCTGTTACAACTGGCAATCATAAAAAGAAAAAAAAGAATTTTTTTATTTTTATTTTTTTTGAACATGTGCTGTTTCAGAATATCAACATAACTTGTATTTGGATATTTATCATTTACATCATATAGGTACGTTAAAAAATTATTGACAAAACATATTTTTTAACAGGATACGAACTCATTCTACATTAACTGAAAATCTGCTTTCTCATAAAGTACAATTTGATGGTAGAATCATATCAAGGTAATTGTGATTTTTATTAAGAACTGTAATTTTTATTATAAAACTATATTCTCTTTCAAATATAAATGGCAATGGAATTATATAAATTTGTATGTAAATTACATAAATTTGTATTTTTATTGAAATGAAAAACTGAATTTAGAATAAATATTTTTAGGTAATAGCTATTAATCCATTATAAAAATATAGACAGTATGAACCTGAAAGAAAAACATTTTAATTAGACATTATTTTAAAAATGATTTTAAATGTCTTTTAAAAAAACTTAGAGATAAGATTATAAAAGGTATATATTACCACTAAAAGTCTCCACATTATTAAAAAAATTAACCTTTATAAAGGCTGCTTTGTTTAATGTTTTATTAGTTAACTTTTTTTTTTTTTGCCATTGGGTATGTGTGCTTACCAGAGAGAGACAGTGAAGTCAGCAAGAGAGAAAGTGAAAAATCACCACCAGAGAGGATGGCCATGCCACAGTCCTCTCTCCCTCACTTTCCTTTTGGGATTTTGGACATGCACAACATACCCCTGGTGTTATGTTTGAGCCACCAGGTATGGGATTTGAACCACTGTTGGTCATGTGGGAGTCCAGCTCCTAAACCAGAGTGAGCCAGGAGAATATAGAAAGTCTGAATAGGTCTATAACAAGCCAGAAGATTGAGTCAGTAATAAATAACCTCCCAAGAAAGAAAAACCCTGGTCCTGATGGCTTCACCTCTGAATTCTACAAAACTTTTAAAGAAGAGTTAACTTCCATTCTGCTCAAGGTATTTCTAAAGATCCTAAAGGGTGAAACTCTCCCTAATTCATTCTATGAAGCTGCCATCATCTTTATCCTTAAAACAGATAAGGACAGGATAAGGAAGGAAAATTATAACCATTATCTCTGATGAATATAGATGCAAAAATTCTCAACAAGATACTAGGAATTCGTATCCAATAACATATAAAAAAGATTATACATACCAACCAGGTAGGCTTTATCTCAGGGATGCAAGGTTGGTTCAACATACATAAAACCATAATTGCAATATACCATGTTAACAGAAAGAAAAGTTTAAAAACCATATGATTATATCAGTTGATGCAGAAAAGGCATCAATTGATTAGATACAACATCCCTTCATGATTAAGACTCTCAGTAAAATCAGCATAGTAGGTAATTTCTCAATCCAATAAAAGCTGTCTATGAAAAACCCATAGCTAACATCATCCTGAATGGAGAAAAGCTGAAAGCCTTTCCACTAATATCTGGCACAAGACAAGGATGCCCACTTTCTCCACTCCTTTTCAATATAGTACTGGAAGTACTTGCCAACACAATCATAAAAGAAAAAAAAATGGCATTCAAACAGGAAAAGAAGAGGTGAAACTATCTCTATTTGCAGATGACATGATTGTATATATAGAAGACCCACTGGTATCCATGAAAAAATTCCTAGAAGTAATACATGAATACAGTAAAGTTGCAGGATACAAAATCAACATACAAAAATCTATAGCATTTCTATATATGAACAGCAGGCAGACTGAGATAGAACTGAAAAAGTAATTCCATTTACCATAACCACAAAAAGTACAAGATGCCTAGGAATAAATCTAACCAAAGAAGTTAAAGATCTTCATAAGGAAAACTACAAGAAGCTAAAAAAAGAAATTGAAAATAATATAACCAAAATGGCTATTCTACCCAAATTAATCTACATATTTAATGCAGTCCAAATCAAAGTGCCAGAGAGACATTCTTCACAGATCTAGAAAAGACAATCATAAAATTTTTCTGGAATCGTAAAAGACCTCATATTGTCAAAGCAATCCTGCACAAGAAGAGTGGAGTGAGTGGCATCTCACTCCCTAACTACAAAGCTGGGGTAATCAAAACAGCATGGTATTAGCAGAGAGACAGGTGGACCGGACCAATGGAGCAGAATAGAGACACCAGAAATAAACTCCCAAACGTACAGCAAACTGATTTTTGATAAAGAGTACCACTCAATCCAGTGGGAACATAAAACCTATTTAACAAATGGTGCTAGAAAAACTGGATATCCACCTGCAGAAAGATGAATCTGAACCCCTATCTCTCTCTATTGACAAAAATCAACTCAAAATGGATCAAAGATCGAAACCTTAGACCTCAAACTATAAAACTGCTGCTGGAAAGCACTGAGGAAACTCTGGAAGACACTGAGGTAGGCAAAGACTTCTTAAATAAGACCCCCCAAAGCACAGTCAGTAATCCCCAAAATAGACAAGTAGGATTACATCAGATTAAGAAGTTTCTGCATGGCAAAAGACACAGTAATTAGTGTGAATGAACAACCCTCAGAAAAAAATATTTTTTAAACTATGCATCAGATAAGGGACTGTTAACCAGAATATACAAGGAACTCAAGCAGCTGTCCTGAAAAACAGATCAACCCTATTAGAAGATGGGAGAATGAGTTGAAAAAACCACTCTCTAAGGAAGACGTATGAATAGCTAAAAGGCATATGAAAAAATGCTTAACATCCCTCGTTGCAAGGGAGATGCAGATCAAAACTACCATGTTATACTACCTAAGCCCAGTCAGAATGACTAAGATTACATAAACAAAAAATGATAAGGGTTGTGGGGTGGGGTGGGGGGCAGGGGTGACTGTTGAAAAGAGAACTCTCCTACACTGCTGGTGGAAATGTAAATTGGTTCAGCCACTGTGGAGAACAATTTGAAGATTTTTCAAAGATCTACAAATAGAACTGCCATATGATCTAGCAATCCCACTCCTTGGTATATACCCATATGATAGCAGAATTCTTAATCAGGAAAGTGCTTGCACATCGATGTTTATTGTGGCATTATTCACAATTGCTAAGACATGGAACCAATCCAAATGCCCATAAACAGATGAATGGATTGAAAAACTGTGGCACACACACACACACACACACACACACACATATATATATATATATACTCTATGGAATACTACTCAGCCATAAAAGACAAGACCCTGGCTTTTGACAAAAAGTGGATGAATATGAAAGATTTACTGCTTAGTGAAGCAAGCCAGGCTATGAAGGAGAGACCTTGTATGTCTCCACTTAATATATACCTAGTGTCCACACTCTGGCTGAAACTGAATGACCAAAGGATATAGAAACATAGTAAATGGTTGTGAGTACAGGATACAGTGTGGGAAGAGGGTGGGTGAAGGAGGAGAGTCTGAGGAAGAACATTAAGGAGAAAAACCAGAGAGGTAAGTCATTTATGGGACACAGAAATGGTTTATTATCTATCAAAGATAACTTTATAGTATAATTGCCTGGACTGGTGAGAAATTTACACATGTTGGAATATTCACTTTGCAAGCTAAGTAAAGTGATTGAATGTATAAAAGAAATTGAAATAAAAAAATAAAGAAAAAAAAAGAATCTAAACAACATATGCAGACAGTTTAGCTCTAAAAACAAAAACAAAACAAACCAACATACCACCTGTTGGTCCCTTAGTTTAACTTCTAAAAATTGCAACTTGATTTACATATGATTGTTTTACATCTTTGAGAGGTTCACAAAGCATGATTTTTTAAAAGTATGTATTCAAGTCAAGGCTATACACACATTCAGTGAACACCACACTCTGCTGTGCACACCTGAAAACTGCTGTACTCGTTTATTAGAAGTATATATTACTTTGCCACTGATGTTTATTACTCTACTGTGGCACAAATTCCAAAACCTATTTTACTTGTCTATATGCAGTCTTGTGTCTTTTGACCTATTTCTGCCATTTCCCCCAACTCCCCCATCCAACATCTAATACCTACTATTTTTCTCTTACTACTATAATGATTTAAGCTAACAGTAGATTACATATAGATGTAGTAAGAGACAAAGAAGATGATTCTTAGATCTGTTATCTCAGCCTTATAAACTTTCAGTATGCTCTTTGTGAATATTATTGGTAAAATGGGTATTTTATTATTATCATGCTTGCTTAGTGTTTTTATTTCTTATTTTATTGTAATTTCTAATTTACATATGCTAGTTATACATATTTATGGGACACTGATTTTTCAAAGTATGCGTACAATGTGTAAGGATCAAATCTCAGCAATGAACACATCTAGCATCTCCAACATTTATCATCACTTTGTCTTGTGCACACTCAAAATCTATTCTTCTAGGAATTTTAAAATACATATTGAATTGTCACCAACTGCCTTTACTTTTCTATGACAATAAAAATAAATTTGTACCTTTGAATGCCTTCTTGTAAGCGCATATATTTTAGGATCTTCAAATTTATCTTAAAAATCTAAATTGAATTAGTAATCTGCATTATCTATCCAAATTTATACCAGTACAGGTAATTATTTTCTTCACCAAAATGTAACTTAACACTGAAGCAAGCTGTATCATGCTTTCCTACATCTTCCCCTAAGCCTCATTTGCTGCCACACACTCAAGGGAGTTATGCTGTTCCTCTTTGAGATGGGTAATTTTAGTTTTTAATTGAATTTGTAAATTATTTCTATGGGACACTTTTACATAAAATTTTCTTTTTTTTTCCCCCTCCCAGAAATGGACGTGATGCTTGCAGGGAGCTTATTGGGTTCTTTTTTGCTCATGACCAATCCCTTACCATTTATGAATATCGGCAATTTGGGAAAAATAGGTATGCGATGAAGTAATGCTAGAATCTCAAGACGATTACTTCTGAGAGAAGCTGAATGATTTTAGACTTTTTTTCCATTTAACCTCTAGAACAAATGTGCTTCCTTTTATTAAAAAAAGTTCTTATGGTCATCAGTGTGGACGAAGAAAAGGAAAACAATACCAACTTGATGATTTTTATATTGTAAGTTAAGTGTGCGTGTGTGTGTCTGTGTGTGCTAGCATTTAATAGTAGATCTTAAATTTTGCAGTATTCCGTGGGTGTGAAGGAGCAATACTTCTAGTCTTCAGTTTACCTCTTCTTTTCCTCCCTGAGCAGGGGTATTTTTGTGGGTGGGCTAATAGTTGATAGTTTCCTAGGAAGTTCTGTCTCTCAGGTCCAAGCCCAAATAGACTGAATCTAAGCATATCATTTGTTCTCCCAAACACCTTTGTGCTGCCAGAAGATCATTCATTTTTGAAAAGCCTTCCTAATTTCTGGGTGTTCTATCATGAATTCCCAGATTAACCCGTGAAAGAGGTAAAAATCTGTTTAGATGATCCAAAATAGCTCCCTTGCTTCTTTATTTCTGTGTTCCTGGCCCCTACTGAGCTTCATTTTTCTTTAATGTCCTTCTTACTTGACATTATGTTGCATATGTATATTTTTATCTATTTATTAACCTTCTCTGACTTAAGACTTTACACCTTGAAGGTCAGGACTTGCCTGTTTTGGCCACCACCGTGTTCCTAGTGTCCCAAAGAGTGATGAGTATCTTGCAGTCACTGAGCAAATATTGACTGCATGAATGGATTTAAATGTAATGAGTTGCCAGCTGACTTTGTGGGACAGTCGTTAAGACAGTCGGATCTGACATGGGTGATGGAGTGGTTTGAATCCAAACCCTAGGGGCAGCTTGAAAAATACATCTGGCATGTGTGCAATGCATTCATTAAATCCGAGGATGAAGAAATGGAAGAGAAGAGATTGCAGTGTGACCATGCCCCATTGGGAAGTGCTTTCTCCCTCCTTATTTCTTTCTCTCTCTGACAAGAGAAAAAAATAAAAGCAAATTTGGTAAATTGTAACTAGTAAGAGTGCTTAAAACCCTCTTGTTCCTGAGAGTATTTTAAATACCTCAGTTTTGACATTAAAAACACTAAGGGAAAACATCATACATGTCCAAATTTTTAATCAGTCAAGACTGAATGAAAGAATAAATGACTGAAAATAAGACCACATCGGATAAAAACTGATTTCCAGCATGCTGAGAGGTGTAGAAGAGCAGTGTATTATTAACCAGTTTTCTGAAAAGCTTTACCAAATCAATGAGATGAAATATTTGACCACTGGGGAAAACAAAACTTTTTTTTTTTTTTGAGGGGTTTTTGCTATAGGGCGCATGCGCTAGCCAGAAAGACAGAGAGACAGAAAGTGAGAAATTACCCACCAGGGGGATGGCGACACCTCAATCCCTTCTCCTCCATTCTCCTCTCAAAATCTTGGGCATGCATGCACACACATGCACATGCGCCCGGCATGAGGTTCAGCCACTGGGTCCAGGACTCGAACTGCAGTCGACTACAAGGGAGTCCAGCAACATAGCCATTATGTCAACTTCTGGTCCCCAACTTACTTACTTACTTTCTTTCTTTCTTCTTTTTTTTTTGCAGAGATGTTTGCCATAGGGCAAGTGTGCTTGCTGGAAAGACAGAGAGAGACAGAGAGACAGAGAATGAGAAATTACCTCTCTGAGGGGGAATGGCCACACCACAATCCCTTCTCCTCTATTCTCCTCACAGGATTTTGGGCATGCATGTACATGTACCTAGTGTGAGGTTTAAGCCACTGGATCTGGGACTTGAACCATGGTTACCTATGTGGGAATCCAGCGACATGACCGTTATGCCATCTGCTGGTCCCTCATCATAAGATTTTAATGAGAGTAGTCATTTGACTTCCTCTGTGCTTGAGTTATAGAGACTTAAAAACTAACCATGAGAAAAATAATAGGCACTAGATCTTCAATGAACTACTTTCCAATTTTCTTTTTAGTTTTCATAGCAAAGGAAAATATTTTTACACTACACTGAGACAAAGAGGAAACTGCTCAAAGATGAAAGCTGCCAGCAAAGGAGTTCTGTTTGCCCCTAAATCACCCAGTTACCCCAGTTAGCTCTAGAAACATCTGTAATCTTAACTGGGAAGGTCCTCTTCCCTCCCTTCTGCCTTCATAGTTAAAAAAAATAATAAATTAAGGATTACTTATGACATGTGCTAGGCAAAGCCTGTTAGAAATATAACCTTCTCCCACACAAAACCCTTCTATTAATATAGTAAAGAAAAAATATTTAATAAGTATTAAACCAAAACGTGATGCACAACACGTGGAATCTGCTAAAAGACTGCAAAGAGAAGTACCACCCTTTTATATAGCCTAAAAGATATAAAGGATTACAGACGTGTTTTTGAGATCAGCAATAACTAGTCCTCAGGAGAACTTGACAGTACCATTGGTCATATGTAAAATAGTTTACCCTACATTCACCTGGTAACTGGAGTGATCGCTAGCTAATTGGCTTTATCCTGAGGAAAAACATTTCAACACTGTGACAAGAGGCTGTTTGCAAAGTGCCTAAGGAAGTTAGGCTCCTACTCCCTCCCAGCTCTGGGAGTCTGGGGGTGCTGTATCCCTTGATATTTACATTTCAAAGAGTGGTTCCCTCCGGGTCCTTGAGAAACACTTCCAGGTTATTAAACTGACAATAGTCCCCTCTGATTTTCAAAAGAATCTATATACATTTCAAAGAGAGGAGAAAGTACATACATTACAATTACAAATTTTCTAAAGTAAATGTTCTAAGAAGGGAGGGAAATTTTCTCCTCTTAAGTGCTACTGAAAGAATTAAGCTTCTTAATCCCTACCCATGCACTCCCTCTCACCCCTTTACCTACTCCCTGCTATACTATCTTTGTTATCTACAGTTGTCCTCCTGCTATTGTATCTTCCCGCCCTTCAGTTTCTGTCATAGAGTGCAGACATTCAGTATAAAGTTGGAAAAAACATTTTTATGCTGTAAAGATATACAGCAATTAAATTTAATTTTAAAAGTGTCAAATTAAAAAAACTTAATTTGCAAAATAAAAAGCGAAAAAATGAATTAAGCCTCTTATTTTAAATCTCTATTTGTCTTTATACTGGCTAGGTTTATTTGTGAACTCAGAAATTTAAACAATTTTCTAAGCCTGGACTAAGACTTTTTGAGAGGAATTTTGTGACTGAGGCTTTGATACCCTAATTAGATTAAAATTAGATTTTATATTTATGTGATGTCTGTCATCAAAGGACCAGGAAAAAGAGTGTAGTGAATCCATCAATTTGTAGTTCATCTTTCTGGGGAGCAATTGTTCTATTTTTGTATGTAGGGATGTCATAATTTTGATTGAACTATTTTTTTTTCTCTCATTCTTATAAAAAAAAATCTGAATTTCTTTTCTTTTTCTCTCTTTCTTTTCTTTTCTTTTCTTTTTCTTTCTTTCTTTCTTTTTTTTAAAGAGCTTTTTGCTATAGGGCACATGCACTTGCCAGAAAGACAGAGAGAGACAGAGAGACAGAAAGAGAGAAAGCACCCTCCAAGGGGATAGCCACTCCACAATCCCTTCTCCTCCATTCTCCTCTCAGGATTTTGGTCATGCTCACATATGTGCTCAGTGTGAGTTTAAGTCACCGGTTCCAGGATTCAAACTGTGGTCGACTACATGGGAGTCCAGTGACATAGCCATTATGCCAACTGCTGGTCCCCCAAATTTGAATTGCTTATATGACTGGCTTTTTAAAGAAGTTATTTTATTTAACTTCATTTATTACTATTATTATTTTTTAGTTTGATCAGGGAGAGAGAGAGAGAGAGAGAGAGAGAGAAAGTGAGAGAGCAAGCCTCTAGGTGCCGTACTTGAACCCCAGTTGGCTATATGGGAATCCAGTGGCTTTATCCACCAAGCCATCTGCTGGTCCCCTATGACTGACTTTTTGACTGGCTTTTTGTGGTTGTTTCCATGGCTGGTACACAGGAAAAAACATTTTTCCCTTCAGTTTCCCAGAGGGCACAAGTGTTCACCAGAGAGAGACAGAAAGAGAGAAGGAAAGGGAAAAAACACTCCCCATTTGGAGGATTGTCACCATAATCTCTTCTCCATTTCTCCCCTTGGGATTTTGAATATACACACACATGTGCTGGTATATTTTCAAGAGTCTGAGACACCTTGCACAGTTGACCATATGGGATCCAGCCAACTTAACCATCATGCCACTGCTGGCCCAGAAGATTGTTTTAACTCAGAGACTGACTGGGAGATTAGTTTCTTTTCCTGTCTTTAGCTGAAGCCAATGTAATTTCTAAATATTCTCCAAATACACAAATATAAATTTTTATGTACTGTCTCACATACAATAAAAATCATCAGATTAGTATTAGTTGTATATTACTACTTACATATACTTAGAAGATTTACCATAATTTGTTTTTTTGTTAGGGTGCAAACTTGACATTTTTGAGTTCAGATCATCCTAGCCTTCCAGAGAGCACAAAAGAAAATAAATTACTTACGCTACGAATTACAAATATTGATCAAATAGCTTTGGAGTCTCTCAAGTAAGTCAAATACGTGTTTGCCACTTTGAAAGTAAGTGAAACATTCTTTTCTTTTTTAATGGTCAGAGGACGTGTGTGCTCATGAGAGAGACAGAGAGAAAAAGTGAAAAAACACCCTCTATGTGGGGATGGTCACGCTACAATCCCTCCTCCCTCATTTCTTTCTACTTTTCAGGATTTTGGGGCACAGGCAATATTTTAGTGTGGTTTTCACGGCCCTGGTCTGAGATTTGAACTGTGCAGTTAGCCACATGAGATCCAGCTGCCTCAATCACCATGCCACTGGCTGGCCCAAAACACTATTTTTTACTATCATAATATGAGATTCTGTCATATAAAGTCTAAAAACATTTAGGCTTTAGTTAGGGTTTATATAAAAAAAACCCAGTTATGTGTGCTTATCTTATGTGCTCTTTCATATTCAAATATGTGTGTGGCAACAGTTTCAATCAATTAAAGATTTTAAAAAGTCCCATTTTATGTTAAAGGTAACTTATTAGTTTGCCTTTTGTATGACAACTTAATTCATCAAATGCTACCAAAATAATAAATTTGAAAAGGTGCAATATTAGTACAATATTATAACAATTTTCCTAACATTGAAAGTGTGATGGGTTTTATTTTAAGCATTGAGAGAAGTCTTGGGTTTCATATGTTTGTATTATTCCTTGATCAATAATATGCACAGTGAATCATTCTATAAGCCAAAATACGTTGGGAAATAAATTTTTTAAAATCACAGGTATATATGTACATATATACATATATACTTATACATATATGCATACAGGAGGTCTTCAAAAGGTTAATGGAAAGTACATGTTATGAAAAAACTACGCATGGATTTTGAGTTATTTTTGGCATCAAAATAAAGTGTACTTTAATTCCATTTTTTCCAAAAGCTTTTTGAAGTCATCTCTCTCTCTCTCTCTCACACACACACACACACACACACTTCTTGTTCAGTGTTTCTTGGTGCTAAGTATAATCCAAAATGATAATAATTGATCACTGTCCATGTAGTATATACATGCATTAGAGGTTATATCTCACAGCTTCACTATTTTTTTGTCATTTATGTATTGCTATAAAATGAATAATATTGAGAGGGGCTTTTTAAAATAACATTTGTGTATTTTATACTTTGCAAGGTAAAACTGCTTCTAAATTTAATAGTTATAATTTAAAAATTAAAAGAACATCAAAATAGCTACAGAAACAAGTATGTTTCTAGGTAGGGTAGTTCTAGGAAAGTTTTAAAAAATTTAGCTCTACATATAATTTTCCTGGGGATCAGAGGGGCAGGCAGAATTGGGACTTGATTAAAATTTAAGCACTCTTCCAACTTTGAGAGGTTCCTTGAGATTGCGGGAAAGACCTTAGAGCTTCCATATCCAAGATGTAATGAGAATGTTTTTATTTATTTTTTATTTTATTGTTTACCATTGTGAACATGTCAACTGTAGAACTACTTCTGGGGAGCATGAGGATTATATAATCAGACAAGAAGCCAATGATAGGCTGGTCTTCAAGGCCATTCAAGGTATGTATTACTATACTCTCAAGTAGTTTTAATTTTTAATCAATAAAACAATTTTGAGATTATTTCTTAATTTTATGGCACTTCATTTATAATTTCTACTTGCTTATTTTAGACACAGCCCTGCTGACACAGGCAGTAGGGTGCCGTTGTGTAATCCTGGGTCACATGGAAGGCCTGGGTTCTGATCTCTGATTGATCTGAACATATCAAGCAGGCCCATGCATGCCCATGATCCTGGCTGGCTGGGAGGTTGGGGAAAGGACTGTGATTGGCCTGGTGAGACCCTGCTGAGGGTACTTCAATAGAAAATAAATACATTTTAAAAAAATATATAGGTTCTCAAGGTTTTCTCTTAGTGTTCCTAACTAGATAATATGGGTTTAACTCATAAACTAAATAAAATCTCAAGGTGATTTTTGTAATGTAATACTTGGGCAACGCACTAGATGATATTCTAAAGAAATTTGTGATGGCCTAGTGTGAACAAAAAAATATCCTAGATGAGGAACAAAATTCCTGTTTCAATTCTACTATTCAATATACGTAAGACTGGGTGTAAATATCTTGCACCTCTTTCTTCAGCTTACAGATGAAGATAATACCTTTTATTAACTGTCCAGGGTTTTTGTTGGTAATAAATGAGAAATATGTAAACTTCGGAGTCTAAAACAATTCACAAATTTTGTTTCTGGGGGTCCAGTCTTAACACCACTACAGTCTACTGGGCTCAAATAGATAATTCCTGGTTGAAACTCATAGTCTAGATGAGAGAACATAATAAACAAGCAATCTCAGAAATCAATGTATTTTTGAATTTTGATGAATCCTGATTCACCCGATTTGAAGGTAAGGAGATCACAGTGAAAAGGCTAGAAACAGATTTGAAAGTTGTCTGAGATTGGTCTTTGAACTCTCAAATATCCCTGAGGCCTTTGTTAAGAAATATTTTCCCTACCCTATCATGGTCAATATGAAATTTATCACTATCGAATCCAGTGACATTTGTTCTTCTCTATATTATATTATATTATATTATATTATATTATATTATATTATATATTACTACTTACATATACTTAGAAGATTTACCATAATTTGTTTTTTTGTTAGGGTGCAAACTTGACATTTTTGAGTTCAGATCATCCTAGCCTTCCAGAGAGCACAAAAGAAAATAAATTACTTACGCTACGAATTACAAATATTGATCAAATAGCTTTGGAGTCTCTCAAGTAAGTCAAATACGTGTTTGCCACTTTGAAAGTAAGTGAAACATTCTTTTCTTTTTTAATGGTCAGAGGACGTGTGTGCTCATGAGAGAGACAGAGAGAAAAAGTGAAAAAACACCCTCTATGTGGGGATGGTCACGCTACAATCCCTCCTCCCTCATTTCTTTCTACTTTTCAGGATTTTGGGGCACAGGCAATATCTTAGTGTGGTTTTCACGGCCCTGGTCTGAGATTTGAACTGTGCAGTTAGCCACATGAGATCCAGCTGCCTCAATCACCATGCCACTGGCTGGCCCAAAACACTATTTTTTACTATCATAATATGAGATTCTGTCATATAAAGTCTAAAAACATTTAGGCTTTAGTTAGGGTTTATATAAAAAAAACCCAGTTATGTGTGCTTATCTTATGTGCTCTTTCATATTCAAATATGTGTGTGGCAACAGTTTCAATCAATTAAAGATTTTAAAAAGTCCCATTTTATGTTAAAGGTAACTTATTAGTTTGCCTTTTGTATGACAACTTAATTCATCAAATGCTACCAAAATAATAAATTTGAAAAGGTGCAATATTAGTACAATATTATAACAATTTTCCTAACATAAAGTGTGATGGGTTTTATTTTAAGCATTGAGAGAAGTCTTGGGTTTCATATGTTTGTATTATTCCTTGATCAATAATATGCACAGTGAATCATTCTATAAGCCAAAATACGTTGGGAAATAAATTTTTTAAAATCACAGGTATATATGTACATATATACATATATACTTATACATATATGCATACAGGAGGTCTTCAAAAGGTTAATGGAAAGTACATGTTATGAAAAAACTACGCATGGATTTTGAGTTATTTTTGGCATCAAAATAAAGTGTACTTTAATTCCATTTTTTCCAAAAGCTTTTTGAAGTCATCTCTCTCTCTCTCTCTCACACACACACACACACACACACTTCTTGTTCAGTGTTTCTTGGTGCTAAGTATAATCCAAAATGATAATAATTGATCACTGTCCATGTAGTATATACATGCATTAGAGGTTATATCTCACAGCTTCACTATTTTTTTGTCATTTATGTATTGCTATAAAATGAATAATATTGAGAGGGGCTTTTTAAAATAACATTTGTGTATTTTATACTTTGCAAGGTAAAACTGCTTCTAAATTTAATAGTTATAATTTAAAAATTAAAAGAACATCAAAATAGCTACAGAAACAAGTATGTTTCTAGGTAGGGTAGTTCTAGGAAAGTTTTAAAAAATTTAGCTCTACATATAATTTTCCTGGGGATCAGAGGGGCAGGCAGAATTGGGACTTGATTAAAATTTAAGCACTCTTCCAACTTTGAGAGGTTCCTTGAGATTGCGGGAAAGACCTTAGAGCTTCCATATCCAAGATGTAATGAGAATGTTTTTATTTATTTTTTATTTTATTGTTTACCATTGTGAACATGTCAACTGTAGAACTACTTCTGGGGAGCATGAGGATTATATAATCAGACAAGAAGCCAATGATAGGCTGGTCTTCAAGGCCATTCAAGGTATGTATTACTATACTCTCAAGTAGTTTTAATTTTTAATCAATAAAACAATTTTGAGATTATTTCTTAATTTTATGGCACTTCATTTATAATTTCTACTTGCTTATTTTAGACACAGCCCTGCTGACACAGGCAGTAGGGTGCCGTTGTGTAATCCTGGGTCACATGGAAGGCCTGGGTTCTGATCTCTGATTGATCTGAACATATCAAGCAGGCCCATGCATGCCCATGATCCTGGCTGGCTGGGAGGTTGGGGAAAGGACTGTGATTGGCCTGGTGAGACCCTGCTGAGGGTACTTCAATAGAAAATAAATACATTTTAAAAAAATATATAGGTTCTCAAGATTTTCTCTTAGTGTTCCTAACTAGATAATATGGGTTTAACTCATAAACTAAATAAAATCTCAAAGTGATTTTTGTAATGTAATACTTGGGCAACGCACTAGATGATATTCTAAAGAAATTTGTGATGGCCTAGTGTGAACAAAAAAATATCCTAGATGAGGAACAAAATTCCTGTTTCAATTCTACTATTCAATATACGTAAGACTGGGTGTAAATATCTTGCACCTCTTTCTTCAGCTTACAGATGAAGATAATACCTTTTATTAACTGTCCAGGGTTTTTGTTGGTAATAAATGAGAAATATGTAAACTTCGGAGTCTAAAACAATTCACAAATTTTGTTTCTGGGGGTCCAGTCTTAACACCACTACAGTCTACTGGGCTCAAATAGATAATTCCTGGTTGAAACTCATAGTCTAGATGAGAGAACATAATAAACAAGCAATCTCAGAAATCAATGTATTTTTGAATTTTGATGAATCCTGATTCACCCGATTTGAAGGTAAGGAGATCACAGTGAAAAGGCTAGAAACAGATTTGAAAGTTGTCTGAGATTGGTCTTTGAACTCTCAAATATCCCTGAGGCCTTTGTTAAGAAATATTTTCCCTACCCTATCATGGTCAATATGAAATTTATCACTATCGAATCCAGTGACATTTGTTTTTCTCTATATTATATTATATTATATTATATTATATTATATTATATTATATTATTATATTATTATGTCTAGCAACCGCTCCAGTAAAGTTACTAATATGTTCTTAAGTAAATGTGATGTGAACTTCATTAAGTAAAATAGCTGAGCTGAGCTACAAGGAGAAGACTAGGAACCTAACCATATAACTTCTTATGAATTTTTTTCTTTCTTTTTTTTTTTTTTTGAGAGGTTTTTGCTATAGGGCATGTACGCTTGCCAGAGAGACAGAGAGAGACAGAGGGACAGAAAACAAGAAATCAACCCTCAGGGGGAATGGCCAAACTGCAATCCTTTCTCCTTCATTCTCCTCTTGGGATCTTGAGCACACACACACATGCGCTCTGTGTGAGTTTAAGCCACCAGGTCCAGGACTCAAACTGTGGTCGACTACATGAGAGTCCAACTACATAGCCATTACGCCAACTGCTGGTCCCAACTTCTTATGAGTTTCTAGAAGGGTTATTTTAATATAGAAGTAAGGACTGCACTCTAAAACATTGTGCTATTTAACGTACAAGTTACAAATTAAAGATTTCAAACTTATTAAACATTTTTTGAACTGATAATTTTGAGTTACTTGCTCAGCATCAATTTTATGATTCTGTTGGTTACGAAAAAGAAAGAGAAGGGACATCTAGGTAGCATGGTGGTTGAGGCACCTGGAACCCACATGACTTATTGGATAGTTTGAGTCCCTGGCCTGTCAGCTTGAAAAACATGCAGGTGCATATGCGTGTGTGCCTAAAATCCCTAGAGGAGAATTGGGGAAAAAGGACTGCAGTGTGGCCATCTTCCCTGGAAGAGTTCTGACTTTCCATTCTCTACCTTTCTTTCTTGTGTGCACTATAGCAATTTTTTTATTTAAATTTTTTTTAATTATTAAATTTTAAATTAATTAATTAATTAGCATGCATTCACTGACCATTGTCACAGCATGTAAAGTGTGATTTCCCATTCAGAATATACTGTCTAGTGGCTTAATCATACACGTTACCATCATTGAGTTTCCATTTCTAGTTTCATATATATTTATATATTTTCCCCCTATTTCTCACCCTCTGTCATTTCCCATCTTCCTCCCACACTATCTCAGGTGTCCACAGTTGTTTTCCATTCCTTTTCTCCCTACATTTTATTGATTCACAAAGTTTCTTTAACAATCTAACTACTTTCAATAGCAAGTTCAGCTGACATATACATATCTATGAATACATGTCTGACTTTAGGCGTGAAACTCTGAGTAGAATGAGTATACTATAACGTAGCACCTACCTGATGCTAGATAGCTTAGTATGGCCATTAATTATGTATTTTTTACTATATTTTTAAATTTCAAGTAAAGCAGTTTTAGCTTTAATAAATCAAAGAAATGTTAAGGAACTATGCTTAAAACTTAAAGCCAGGAAACAGGTTGGGATTCTGTTCAAATAGTAGGTTCAAATGAACCTATCGGCAGCTCAAGACAGGAGAAAAATCCTTAAAACTGGAAAACAAAGCATAGAAGAAAATCAGCAATGTTTTAGTCAAAAGTCATAAAATTCTGTTTTACCAGTTCAGTCTGTCGTTGTTCAATCTTCCCAATTAAATTCTGGGATATAATATTCAACTCCAGACTTGTCCTATGATTAAGTTGGCCGTTTTCTTAGTTTTTGAACTCTTATTTCTGTATGACTGTATTTAATTTTCATGATATAGCACTTTCTTCAGAACTTCTTGGAGATCTGGTCTGGTGTTGGTAAATTCTTTCAGGTTTTGTTTATCTGAGAATATTGTCTTTTCTTCCCATATGAAGGATAATCTTGCTGGGTATAGTATTCTTGGTTGAAATTGCTTTTTACTTAACACTTTGAATATATTTTCCCATTCTTTCCGCACTCACATTGTTTCCGATGAGAAGGTCTGCTGTTAGCACGATGGGATATCCTTTGTAGGTAACTCGATGTTTTTCTCTTGCCAATCTTAGTATCTTGTCTTTGTCTGTAGTTTTGGTCAATCTGGCTATAATGTGTTTTGAAGAAGATCTTCTTGGGTTGATTCTATTTGGGGTCCTTTGTGGTTTCTTGGGACTGGATCTTTGAATGCCTCTCTAAGTTTGGAAAGTTTTCTTACAGGATTTCATGGAATAGATGATCAATGCCCTTATGAGTTTCTTCCCCTTCTGGGATAGCAATTATCTGGATGTTTGGATGTTTTATAGTATCTAGTATTTCTCGTATATTATTCTCTCTCTCTCTTTTCTTTTTTTTTTTTTTTGGCGATTTTCTCAGTCTTCGGCCCAGCAATTCTATCTTCTACATTTGAGATTTGATTTTTGGTGTGATCTAGTCTTCTTTTAATACTTTCAAGGGAGATTTTGACTTCCTGTATTATAGCCTTCATCTCTAACAGGTCCATTTGATTATTTTTTTATAGTGTAGATTTCCTCCTTTAGATCTTGCAAGAATTTTCTCACCTCTTGGAACTATCAGGCCTTTTCTCCTGCCTCTTCTGCAGTTCATTGTCTCTTTTCTCTTCCATCTCTGTGACCTTTGTCACTACGAATATTCTAAATTCTTTATCTGACATTTCCATGATTTTCATTGTACTACTTGAGGATGAAGAGGAGTTATTATTTTCCCTTGGAGGAGAGGTATTTTCTTGTTTTCCCAGATTTCTTGTGACCCTGTGGTGATTTCTAGTCATCTGATGTGTGGTGCGTTTCTTCCTAATTCTTGAAGTTCAATCTGAGTGTTCAGAGGTGTGTAGGAGGAGGTGTTCTGCAATCTCTTCCATTCTGTTTTCACTCTCTGTGCATCAGAATCAGTGGGAAAAGAGTAATATTTTGACTCTAATCACATTCAGATGTTTAAATCCTATTCACTTGGACCTGTCTAGACACTTAGTGTGGAGAGGCTGAGCAGTCAATGGGTAAAGATAAAGGGAAAAAATTAGAGAAAAGGAATAAAAGAAAATATAAAATAAAAAGAAATAAGAAAAATAGTAAAAAAATTAGATTTTAATTTTAAAAATCAAAAATGGAAAACCGCATGGCATGAGCAGTATTTTGCAACTGAAGTTCAGGATCCATGTGGGGATAGGCCTGGATTTGTGCCTTTTTAGAAACGAGTGAGGAAGAAGTCTCAGCAGAAAATCTTCATTTTAAGTCTCTAAAAGCAATATTTCACAGCTGAAGTTCAGGATCCCTGTGGGGATGGGCCTGGATTTGTGACTTTCCTAAATAGAATGGGCAGAAGCACCTGTTAGCATAATAAAGAAGGGACCTGAGAGCCCAGAGAATACTTTACCTTTAAAAGATTAAAAAAAATTTAAAAGACACAAGGAGACATGAAGAGACTGAGACTGAGAGAAATGGAGAGAAAGAGACAGGCAGCACTACCCACTAGAAATGAGTGAGGGAGAAGTCTCAGCAGAAAATCTTCATTTTAAGTCTCTGAAAGCAATATTTCTCAACTGAGGTTCAAGATCCACGTCACAATTTTTTTTTTTTTTAAAAGAGGAATGAGATTAAAGATGTGGGATAGTTAGATACAGAATTTAGACAATAAAAACTAAGATTTTATTTGTAATATTTGGGTTATTTTTTTGCTGAAAAATGAAACATTTTCCTCCCTGTATTTAAAATATAACACTTTCACCACACAGTGGTGCTATAGTTCTGGTATATTTACATGTGGTTTTATATATAATCCCCTTTATTAAAAACATTTTGTTTTCCAAAGTCTTTTGTCAGCCATACATATGATGTGACTGAATATTCATATTCTTATCAATTTTAATTTTCTTACAAGAAAGACAACTGCAGTTTGATACCATTTGTACATAGAACAATTAGTTACCATTTCTCTTGTTTAAACAGATGTGCTAAAAGAAAAACTACATAAAAGAGGTGTTCGTATTTTGACTGGGTTAGGAAAGTACTTTCAACAATTGGACAAGAAAGGAAATGGACTTTTAGAGAAGGCAGATTTTAAACAAGCTCTAGAAGTATTTCACTTAGAAGTGTCCAAAAAGGTATGTACCACACACAGAAATTCTTTTTGTAGTGAATACTATATTTTTATTAGGTGTTACTGTACACTTTTGTGCTGAAATTTTAGTAGTCTCCTCTTTCTATATCCCTTGTTATCAGAATTATTAGATGAAAAAATCCAGTTAATTTTTATAATCTCAATATTCATTTCTCCATCGTATATTCAGTAAGAGCCCAATAACCGGGTATTGAGGTAAGCTCTGAGAACGCAAATACTGTACTCTTGAGATCTTCATACTCATAGGAAAATTATCATAAAATAATACATGTGTTGGATAAAGAGTGTTTTGGGGGAAGGAGAGAGAGGATTATGGAAGAATTCTTGGAGGAAGACAAATCCAAGCTGAAGTTTGAAGGATGAGGAGGAATCAACCAGACAGGGAAGAAGGAGGAGGGTGGACAGATGATGGCTATTTTCTGAAAAGGAGAAACACATGTGAAGGTGTGGCGAGGAAAAGGAGTATGGCCTGTTCCCCAAACTGCAAGTGGTTCATGCTCACCCACTCGTACTGTTTCTTTGTCTGTGAGTAATCTTCCACTAGGTCTCCATGAGCTGGATTTTCTCATCACTCAGGCCACAGCTTTCTCTGCTAAGAGCTGTAGGCTGACAGCTTTGTCTGAAAGAGCACCTGGGCCCCTCTATATCAATTTCCCATTTTATTTTCTTCATGTCACTTTAGAAGTGTTGTCTAGTTCTGCCTATGAGTGGAATGTGAGTCCCTACAGGGCTGAGAATGGAGTACTTTGGTTTCCTGCTCTTGTTTTACCACCACGAGTAGAACCTGGCATATGACAGGTGTTACATAAATGGCATACAGATTAGTTTGGATGAATAGCTATATGGAAGAAAGGAAAAGAAAAGAATGGAGAAAATAAGTCTGGTAACATTTAAGTCTTACATACTGTGATAAGAATTTGCATTTTATTGTAAAAGTATATGAATTTCAGATATATTTTCCTCAAGGATTTCAGATAAAGGATTCTCCTATATTGTTCTTTTTTCCTTCTTGTGACAAGATCACAAGGCATAGGGAATCAGCAGTTAGCGTAATGGCTATGTCGCTGGACTCCCACGTAGTTGACCGCGGTTCGTGTCCCGGACCCGGTGGCTTAAAACTCACGCCGGGTGCGTGTGCGTGCGTGCCCAAGATCCCGAGAGGAGAATGGAGGAGAAGGGATTGCGGCGTGACCATCCCCCCTGGGGG